TAGAGACAGCCAGCGTGGCTTCGCCGAGGGCAAATCGTGCCCGACTAATCCAGCGGCCTTCCATGATGGAGTGACGGCATTAGAGGACGAGGGAAGAGCTACGGATGTCACCTGCCTGGAGGACGTCAGTGAGGCACGGACAGGTTCTGGATAAATGGCTTTTAATGGAAAAACTGAGAACAAAACACGCACTACCAAAGCTACTACATCGTCAACACACCCTCCCCCCTCCCCAAACCCACCCGTTCCCCGCAACAGGCCCAGTCCCACCCCCCGCCCCAGCACTGGCTGCAGGGGCCTTGCGCTTGCCGCCATTTTCTGGCCGGGAGCCATTTTGCCGCTTCTCCGCTCGCTTCTCCGCTCGCTTCTCCCCTCGCTTCTCCGCTCGCTTCTCCGCTCGCTTCTCCCCTCGCTTCTCCCCTCGCTTCTCCGCTCGCTTCTCCCCTCGCTTCTCCGCTCGCTTCTCCCTCGCTTCTCCGCTCGCTTCTCCGCTCGCTTCTCCCCTCACTTCTCCCCTCGCTTCTCCCGGCTGGTGTCGTGCCGGGACACACTGCCCTGAGGGGGTGGCAGGTCTGTCCCCACGTCCTGCCGTGGATCCTCAGCCCTCATCCTGATGGGAGTTAAGTGCTCCCTGCTCAGGGTGGCTTTGGAGGCCTTGGGGACACGAGTCATTGGGGAGCATCTTCTCGGGCAGCCACAGCGAGCTGATCCTGCGCTGGGGGATGGAGCCACTAGTGCCACCGGTGTCCACGGGCACGGGGACGCTGCTGGAATCGTCCCGGCTGATCCCCCCCTTGCCCCCAGGGAGCAATCCAAGTGCCTCATAGCCTCTTCCAGCAGCACCACCTCAGGCAGCACAACGTCACCGGCTGGAATCACCCCGGGGTCCCTGATGGCTTGGACGTGGAGGGCAGCAGAGTGGCTGGGGGAGATGTTACCACCCAGGGGGGTGCCCTCATCCATGGGGACATCACTCGCCAGGGAGATGTCACATCCTGGGAGGATGTCCTCATCCATGGGGACATCACTCGCCAGGGAGATGTCACATCCTGGGAGGATGTCCTCATCCATGGGGACATCACTCGCCAGGGAGATGTCAACACCTGGGAGGATGTCCTCATCCATGGGGACATCACTCGCCAGGGAGATGTCACATCCTGGGAGGATGTCCTCATCCATGGGGACATCACTCGCCAGGGAGATGTCAACACCTGGGAGGATGTCCTCATCCATGGGGACATCACTCGCCAGGGAGATGTCAACACCTGGGAGGATGTCCTTAACCATGGGGATATTGTTGCCTGGGTGGCTGCCACTGCCTGGGGGTGCCGCCAGCGGTTGGCTCTGCTGGACAGGCCATGGTGCGTGTACTGTCCCTCGACGTGGTGGTGGCTGCGGAGGGACGGTGGCAGCACTGGACGGGCTGAGGCCGCTGCTCTGCCCTGACAGTTGTGGGGCAGGACAGCTCAGCTTGGCTCTGGGGGGCCCATTGCTCTGCCCAGGCCGGGGGGAGCCGCAGCCCGGGGGTCCCCACAGGGCAGCGCCTGGCCGGGAAGCAACGCTGTGGCCGGTGACAAAGGTGGCAGCTGGAGGCAGGTTGGTGCTCGTCCACTCCGAGTGGGAGACATGGGGGTTGAAGCAGCTGCTGCTTGGAGCCATCTGCAGACCTGCAGAGGTGAGAGGGAGATGTGCAGGGGTGAGGACCTGGAGGAATCTCCTGGGGCACCCCCTGAGCCAGCCCTGAGCACAGACATCCCCCTGCTCTGTGCCGGGTGAGTGGGGAGCTTGTGGCAGGGACGATTGTCCATGTGGTGGTGAAATGGGAGAGATGGCTCCAAGAGATTGGGGAATTATCTATAAATTATATTTACTGGGCAGGTTGATCCTGACAGAGAGACATGAGCACTCACTGGTGATCACATCCCAAGCCGGGACAGGAGGGCGCATGAGGGGACTGAGAAGGAGAAGGGAGAGGCGCAACGGAGAAAGGGCTCTGAATTTCCCCAGAGCGAGTCCCGGGGCTGTCGGGGTCAGGGTTAGTCCTCACCTCTGGTGTAGAAGGTTTTGGGGAAGAGGAATGGCTGCAGTAGCTGGGCCATCGGAGGAGCCCCAGGGCCGCACAGTGTGTGCTGCAGAGCTGGCAGTGCCATGGTCACTTCTGTCCTGTGGATTCTGTTTGAGTGTTGCCTGGCAAGGAATGTTGGGGCTCCCCGTGTTCTGTCCCGCCCCCAGTAGCTTTGACTGCTCTTCATGCAGAGGGAAAGGGTTAACAAAAGAGTTGAGTTAAGAGTTATGGTCAATGGCTCAATGTCCAGGGGGAAACCAGTAAGGAGTGGTGTCCCTAAAGGGTTTGTACTGGGACCAGTACTATTTCATGTCTTCACCAATGACATAGACAGTGGGATTGAGTGCACCCTCATCAAATTAGTGAATGACACCAAACTGAGTGGTGCAGTTGCCTCACCTGAGGGAAGGCATGCCTTCCAGAGGGACCTGGACAAGCTTAAGAAGTGGGCCCATGTGAACCTCTTGGAGATCAACAAGGCCAAATGCAAGGTCCTGCACATGGGTCAGGGCAATCCCCAGTAACAATACAGGCTGGGGGATGAGTGGATTGAGAGCAGCCCCACAGAGAAGGACTTGGGAGTACTGGTGGATGAAAAGCTGGACATGACCCGGCAATGTCTGCTCGCAGCCCAGAAAGCCACCCGTGTTCTGGGCTGCAGCCAGAGCAGGGGGGGCAGCAGGGCCAGGGAGGGGATTCTCCCCCTCTGCTGCGCTCTGGGGAGACCCCCCTGCAGTGCTGGGGCCAGCCTGGGGCCCCTGACATCAGAAGGACACTGACCTGCTTGAGCAGGGCCAGAGGAGGCCACAGAAATAATCAGAGGGATTAAACACCTTTCCCATGATGAAAGGTTTGGGGTGGTTCAGCCTGGAGAAGGGAAAGCTCTTGGGGAGACCTTATTGCCGCCTTTCAGTACTTAAAGGGGGCTTATAAGAAAGATGCAGAGAGACATTTTAATAGGGTCTGTTGCAAGAGGACAAGGAGCAACAGTTTTAAACTGAAAGGGGGTAGATTTCGATTAGATGTAAGGAAGAAATTCTTTACTGTGAGGGCAGTGAGGCGCTGGCACAAGTTGCCCAGAGCAGCTGTGGCTGCCCCCTCCCTGGAAGGGTTCAAGGCCAGGTTGGACGGGGCTGGGAGCCCCCTGGGCTGGGGGAAGGGGGCCCTGCCCGGGGCAGGGGGGTTGGGACTGGGTGATCTCTGAGGTCCCTTCCAACCCAAACCACTCTATGATTGAATGACATTTTTGTTCTGGAGCAACTTTCTGCAGACGTAATTTTTTGATCCCGCATGTGATGAATATTAGGAGCAACAGTGTGGCTGTGAAGCTGACTGTGGAAGAGCCTCTTAAGAGACATCTCCTCAAGGCAAGCGGGAGGCCGTATGCTGTACAATGCAGCTCTGGGCAAGAGGATGTCTCTGCAAAGAGATGGGCCTTTGAGCTGAGGGGTGTTGGAAGAGGTGGCTTGGTATTTCTGGCAGCTACACACTGCTCCTTGCTTCTCTGGTTGCGATGGCCTTGTGCTGTGCAACAAGCTCTCCTTCATGCTCTTCACTCGTAATAACGTGGTTCTTTGCCTTTCTGAAAACTCAGAAAACTTACCGGCACAAACCCGATGCTCCTTCCCATCCCAGTTATTCGCAATCGGGAGAGGTATTCCCAAATTTTAAGAGAAAATATTTTTGTGTTTTCTTAGTTTTGCAGGCATCCATGAGTGAAGGACCAGAGTACCTCAATCTGTCCCTTCAACAATCCTTCCCCGCTCCATGTTTTCAATTGGAAACCGCACCAGTGAGCTCCTAAATCCAGGTATCATGTACACCAGTGAAGTGGAGGTCTGGAAGCAGAGACAGAAGCAAGGTCTAAGTATCAGAGCTGGGCTTCATTTTCCCAGTAAGCAGACCCAGACCTCAGCTTGAGTTCCCTCTTTATAACACATTGAGATATGGATAGGTACCTTAGGGAACATCTAATGTCAATGCTCACCCATACAGAAATACCACGGGGACTTTTGATTTAGGAGCCAAACTGGTTTGTTTGTTCAATGGGCACGTTTCCAGCAGAGGCCCATGACACCAGCTTTTAGCAGTACACTCCCAACACTTGACATTTATTAAAGCCACAGCTCAGTGAGTGAGGTAATTACCTGGGCATTTCCATTTTCATTTCTAGTAAGTCCAAATTAAAGTCCAAATAAAGTACATTTTTAGCCCTTCGGCAAAGATTACTCCTTTTTTTTTTTTTTGAACACTTTCCTTCAGGTAGTTAACCATTCATAATACCCATCAATAACCGCTTAGCTGAAGGTATTAGGGTTTAGGGTTACGTAGACAGTAGTAGTCAAAATGCTGTTTCATTCTTTTTGTCACATAATCTTTACTGTATGATAAGCACTACGTAGTAGGCACAAAGCAAAAAGGAGGCCCCCGGTATTTACTTCTCTCTGATAACCCGTGCTAATGAGTTTGCTGCCATTTTAGCTGAAATATGGATAAAAGAAATCCCATCTCGTGTCCTAACGAGCGCAAGCCCTGAGCGTAGACAAACCCTGGGAAGGGCCACATAAGGGTTGTGGCAAGATCAGTGGAAATCCTCTGCCCAAATTCAGGGTGCCAGGACCACATCTGTGTCTCCATGCTTGGCTGCAGCATTTTAGGAGCCATGGGAGAGTTGCCAGCACCCCTTTGCTCTCCCACTTTCACCCCAAAGGAGCTGGTCCAGGGGAATGGGTGCCACCAGGCAATGGGTGCTCATGCTGCGAGGGCGGGTAGAAGTCCTTGCTTGTCCCCAGCTCTTTCCTTAAAAGCAGCAGGGGAAAATCAATAAATAAGGAAGGACAGGAAAGGGGACCATTACAATTAGACCTGATTTTATTTTGCTCCGTAGCCACCGGGCGTCACTCTTGCCTATAGAGTCAGAAAGGAATTTTTGGTCGTCGCTGATAAAATCCCATTTCATCCATAAATTCTACAGCTCCCGGCACTGACAGCAGCATCCCCATTTATCAAAATTTCCCAAGTTTCAACATCAAATTACCAACTCGTTAAATCTGGGGGTATCTGGAGCTGGCAATTTAGCCTGCGGTGTTATTTGCTAAACATAGGCAAAACACATTAGGGTTTTTTATTATTATTATTATTATTATTATTAGTGTAAATGCAGCTGGATAATTTAGATCTGGGTTTGGATTAGGATCTTGGCCAGTGTCTGTCGGTGTCTGGATTACCAGGACATGCTCTGAAGCTGTACAGCTTCTGGGGAAGAGGGAAGGTGAAGAAGAGACAAGGTGTGGATGGGCAGAAAAGCAAAAAAATGTGGCTTTTGCAGGCGGCGCCTCTGCAGAAGTGGAGCAAAACCAACATGATTCAGCAGATGAAGCTGTAAAATATTCCAACCTTTGAAGTCAAGGCAGTTCAGCCCTGACCATTCATGTATCTCAGAAGTACTAGGAGATAAACGCGGGAAACATTACACAGCTCGGTAAATATGCGTTCATCAGAGTACCCGTAATTGCCATTGTGTTGGGATTTTTGCTTTTATAGAACTACAAACTTGTCTTACAACTGCTAGAAACGCTCTCCCGCTAATTTTGTATTTTTCAAGTTCTTCAGAGATTCTCCATTTTCTCCAAAGACAGAAAATCTATTTTCCTTTCAAACAAAGGAAATCCAGTGTGGAGTCTTTACCTGAGGAAAGAACCTCTCAAAGAAAATGTAACACGGCTGGTAAAACCAGTTGCTCTGAAACACTCTGTATCAGCAAACTGAACAGCTGATAAGAATAATAGAAATTTTTAGTCAATGAGAAAATACTCATCAGGAACCTCATCCTACCAGCACAAAATTTGCTAATATTGCCTGGCCTTGCGTTGCTGCCAGAAGTATGAATTTGTACTGAAATCCCACTGTATGGGAGAAGCACCCCAGCCAAAGTGTAAGAAATTTCACTGCTATAAACAGGGCACATATGGGGTTTATGGAGACATCGGGGTCTGGCTATTGATTTGTGCTTTCCTCTGGGTAATACATGTCCTATAATGCCATGAGATTTATGACCAGGACTTTGAACTCTGGAATAACTTTTAAAAAGAGGGGGCTGTCTATAAAAAGTGTGGTTCGGGTTTTAATCTGTTATAATCTAGTGCCGCAAGAAGACTTCGAGAGTTCATTTATTTGGCCGTGAATACTTTTCACACTGAGACTAGGAGGCCACACTCAAATACCTTCAAAAGTTCATGCCAGGATCAGTGAAATTCAGAGTCACGAATGACCCAGGGAACAATCAATCCTTTGATTATAGGAAGTTCCTATTAAAATAATGGAGCACAGAAAGTGCCTTGCTAAAATGAATGTGAGTCTCCCAAACCTGTACATTTGCGCAAAGTGTTGGCTGAGAAATTTCAGCAATTCCTTTTAAAAAAAAAAAAAAAAAACAAACAAACAACAAAAAACAAAAAGCAGACAACATTTTGATATCAAGCAGAGTTTTGACAACTGATTTGGATAAATTGAATTTCTCTTTTATCCAGATTTCTTGACCTGTTCTTAATACCAATTTCCCTTGGTGCTTGCTTTCTTGATTATAGTTGAAAGAAATTTATAACAAATCTATCTTCTGTTTTCGCTTCTACGTACCTATAAATTTCTACTACATTTATATATTTGTATCTCCAGACTGAAAAGCAAGATAAACCTGAAGGCAAACTTATCGTACCAGAATAAAACTCTTTACTCCTGGGACTGGCCAAAACAACAATCTATGAAAAATGCAAAACAGCAACAGGTCTTGTTTTTAAACTGTTTCGCAAAATATTTTTGTGCTGAGAACCTGATCACTGAAGATGCTAAAGTGCTGCTGGCTGCCCTGAATGCCTCCCAGTCTCTGACTGGGACTGTCCCAGTTGGTGCTCAGCTTCTTGCAGAAGTGGACCCCTTAAGAGTTTGCATACAACTAACTAAACACTAGTAAGATCCTCTGTTTTAGTTTTCCAACACCTGAATGATTTATGGGCAGAAAGTAGGTCTACTGCAAATTCATAATTGATGCGTCTCTTTTGATACGCAGTCTAACAAATGAAAAAAAATATTTAAAATACAATTGATTTGTTACTTGTTATGGACTGGAAGAAGACTTCCAAAAGACTGTCATGTTTTCTGGCTTGCCCTGAGATACAGTTCTATCTAGAAGATCCGAGATCCAAACCATTCATACCTTCACCTAAATAAAAACAAAAGCCATCTTCTTCCCTTGGGTCCTGGTGATACACACACCCCAGCCATCCCAGTTATGTGGGACACATTAAACTGTTTTGACTTGGTTACTTCTAAACAAAACCAATGAAATTCAGTTGCTTATAAAAAAATGAGACGGAGGCCCTCTTTTTCTCTCCTCCACATCACTGCTTTAATCCCTGCTATGACCAGGTGGGTGTAGCAATGACTGTAGCTCCTCAACCTGATGAAAATAGTGTTGCATTCAGAAATTCGATAAATGAATGGGAGGGACAAGTAATGCTTCCCCCCCCCCCCCCCCCCCCCCCCCCCCGGATGTTTTGTTAATTAAATTAGCATTTAAATAGCCAGAGCTAATCTGGGAAGTCAGGCCCTCATTACAGTAACTAGGAAGGGGGAAAAGAGCTGCAGACAATGCCCTACAAGATGGGGTTAAGTTGGCGTTTCACAAACTATTTGCCCAGCCTGTCCCTCCCAAGTGAAAGCTGCCACCCCCCCACCCCACCCCCCCTTTCCTCCCAGAATAATTAGCATGTTCCAGTGCTGTGAATGGAAACAATATCCTCCCTCCAAGCTGTGCCCCTCCAGGGAGATGCTTCCCACAGATTGTGAAACTCTGAGCCAGGGAAAGGGCTTGCCGAGGAATTCACAGTGGGGTAATTACACTGAGGTAGCTTGTGCCCGGTGCAAGATAAGTTGCATTACTGTAATTCATTGCAGGAGGCAGGGGCTCGCATAAAGGAAATGTCCAGAGGCAAGACTGCAGAGCCATGAGAAGTCATCGCCTTCCCAGAGCCCCGATAAAACCCGACGTTGAAGCTGAGGATGGTTCTTTGGCCTCCGAGGATGTCTCCGTCTTCAGAGAAGTTTGCAGAACGTAGCAACGATCACGTGCGAATCTGGTTTCTCTTTGGCAATTAGAATGGAAGAAAGGTTGAAAGGGTGAGTTTTCAGATTTTAAAATAAATTCTTCATCCCAAGTAGAAAACTGAAGCAAAGCTTGCAAGAATTGGATGCTTTCACTTGTTATTGTCCATGTATATGGCACTTAAAACATGCTGGCCCCTCTTTCTATCAAATGAAAAGCTGGTCTGCAATCCTTTCCCCACAAGATTTACTATTTAATTTTACATATAACAGAGAGACCAATGATAACTAATATCAGAGGAGAAGATGCAGGAGGAAGGGCTGGATTTGGGTGACACCTGCTATCCCCAGCAGTATGCACATCTGGCAGGTTTCATCCCACTTATTTAAATCGTATTCCAGGTGACTCAACAGAAAAAACATCACCCTCCACTTGCGGCTCATCATGCCCAGCTGTAAAGCGGGGATTATATTTACCTCCATTGCAAAGTACTCGGTTTCAGAAGACGTTGGTGCGGTTTGCTGAGGCCCCGGCTGGAAAATACCACAAGAAGTTCAAAGCCCGGTTTCATCCTGTAATTGGATCCTCAAGTCCACAAGTGCAAGAACCAACTGTGCGGGCTGACAGCAGGTCCTCCCCTCTTCCAACAAGAACCCCACCACAACACGGGGCTGTGGGGCTGAGCTGCAAGCGTGGCATACCCAGGAGCTGCTACTTTCTGCTGCTATGCACAAAAAAATGTTGTTTAAAGCTTTTGCCACCCTGTTTGATCTGACCTGCTGTTATTTTTTCTTTCTTTTTTTTTTTTTTTTAACTCTAAGACATCTTCTTAACTCTCATGCTCACTTGGGATGCTCTTAAGAACATGGACTTTAATCCCAGTGTTACTTAAATACCAATTTAATATTTGTTTTCTCTCTGCCTTGACAAGATATTCCTCAGGTCAAGCAGGCATGAAATGATAGATATTGAGTGCAATTCTTCTGGGCAAGAAGAGCTACCTTCTAAGATCTTATCTCAAAACCACTTGGAAATGTGTTCTTTATTTATTTATGCCATAAAATCTCATTCGATGTTGAAGGCCCAAAGGATTACAATTCTGAATTTGTTGGTTTGCTGTTTTGTTTTCTTTTTTTTTTTCCCCCCGTCCTTGCTGAAATCTGGCCTTTCAAAATAACACAGAGAGAATCTTTGTTTTGATCTAAAATAGCAGCTGCAAGGGCTTTTAAATGACCATTTAAATGAGATTTCTTTTTTTGCATCTTCGCATTATAGTTTCATTCTCGGTCTCTGAGATCAGTAGCTGCGGTTGAGCAGCCGAGCCGTCTAATGGGAATAAATTGTAATATTGTTCCAACTGTCTCCGATTATTACTGTTGAGCTCTATTAATGAACCGCCTTCATTAAGCAAACTGCAAAGTGTGTTGACGGCGGCGTATCAGAGGTTGCTCTGCGAAGCCAGACCCAGCCATCATCTAACCCCACGGTCTTTACGTTGGGTTACGGTTCGTGATCCTCGGCGTGACGTGATTTCTAACGGACAGAAACCCCACGGACCAGCAGAGCAATGCCGCCTTGCTTTGTGACTCCCAGAGAACATCTTGCGGCGAGGTGAGGTTTTGGGTCGCAGCGGCGATGCTGCGAAGTATGGCAGTATTCCCTCAAAAAGGGCCCGAGGCACAGGCAGCACAGACTGAGGTGGGACAGGGCTGGCCCACAGCCACTCTGGTGATGTGTGGCAGGACCTGGGGTGAGCCTGAGACCCCCCTTCTCTGTCAGCGCGACACAACCCACAAACGCCATTTGGGGCTCGCCCCCTCACGAAACTCGTCTATGCTAGCGGACCACATATCCCAGCATGCAATGCTGTCCCGCCAGGAGACGGGCGCGGAAAGGACTACAACTCCCAGCGGGCATCGCGCCTCGCTGCCCGCCTCCCCGGAGCGGCGGGGTGGGCGGCGCTGCACGCTGGGATCTGTAGTCCAGCCGGACGTCGGTCACACACGGTGCCTCCCTTCCTCCGCCCCCCCCCTCCCCCCGGTTTGACACCCCCTCCCGCCCCGCTCCGCCCTCCTCCCCGCCCCGCCGGTTGTCCCTCCGTAAACGGAAGCCGAGGAGGGACGAAGGAGCCGGGGAGGAGGTTGGAGCAGCGCGATGGGGGACTCCAAAGTGAAGGTGGCGGTGCGCGTCCGCCCCACGAACCGGCGAGGTGAGACTTTCCTCCCTCAGTGACACTCCCCCGCTCCCCGGCGCTGGTGTGAGGGGAGCGGGCCCGAGGGGCAGAGCGGGGCGGGAGGCCGGGGGGTGCCGGTCCTCATGGGTGTCTGTAGGGGCAGGTGTGGGTGTCGAGGTGCGCGTGACCCGTCGCGGGGGCGTGTTTATAGGTGTATGTGTCGGGGGGGGGGTGGGGGGGAAGTGTGTATAGGTATATTTATTTATTAATTAATCTTTATGAAGATCTTAGTTTTGTCATTTAGACGTAAGGTATTTTCACACTCTCTTGTATAGTCAGTTTTTCCCTTATTTGTGCTGGCTTCTATGTAGCAAAGGGCAAAGACAAAAATCACTGTAAGGCAACAAACTTTGGCAGAGGGCTATTCTGCAGAAAATCTGGTGACGAAAAGAAATAGTGAAAGAAGTATACTGAAAATCTGTGAAACTAATGCAGAAAGTGAGGATAGGCAGCAATATATTAAAAATAGTATTTCACATTCCCTGGTACTATGAGAAATGCAAAATGAAACAGTAGCTATTAGCTTGGCATGTCAAAAAAGGCCAGTTGTAAGGTGCTTACTTAAGAAATGTTGTAGGAGATAGAGTGTGCGGCAAATCGGTTTGCGATGTTACAGCAGGGAGTGAATTCAAAAGCGATTTCAGGCAAGAGGGAGCTGGAACATTTCTGGGGACCAGTAGCACTAACAGTGGCAGAAGCAATGGTGAAGAATTTACAGGATTTCAGCACAGAGCAGGAAAACTAAAACAGATTCCGATAAAATGCCAGGGCAGTTTACTGGGAAGGATGTTTCTACTTTAGAGAGCTCATTTTTGCCAGTTTGTAAATTCATAGCGGCCGAGAGTCATGAATGCCTCACAACTGGTGACTGCAGAGCTAGAAAATGGAATGACAACAGCTCAGCAGCCGCTTTAGAGACAGCCAGCGTGGCTTCGCCGAGGGCAAATCGTGCCCGACTAATCCAGCGGCCTTCCATGATGGAGTGACGGCATTAGAGGACGAGGGAAGAGCTACGGATGTCACCTGCCTGGAGGACGTCAGTGAGGCACGGACAGGTTCTGGATAAATGGCTTTTAATGGAAAAACTGAGAACAAAACACGCACTACCAAAGCTACTACATCGTCAACACACCCTCCCCCCTCCCCAAACCCACCCGTTCCCCGCAACAGGCCCAGTCCCACCCCCCGCCCCAGCACTGGCTGCAGGGGCCTTGCGCTTGCCGCCATTTTCTGGCCGGGAGCCATTTTGCCACTTCTCCGCTCGCTTCTCCGCTCGCTTCTCCCCTCGCTTCTCCGCTCGCTTCTCCCCTCGCTTCTCCGCTCGCTTCTCCGCTCGCTTCTCCCCTCGCTTCTCCTCTCGCTTCTCCGCTCGCTTCTCCCGGCTGGTGTCGTGCCGGGACACACTGCCCTGAGGGGGTGGCAGGTCTGTCCCCACGTCCTGCCGTGGATCCTCAGCCCTCATCCTGATGGGAGTTAAGTGCTCCCTGCTCAGGGTGGCTTTGGAGGCCTTGGGGACACGAGTCATTGGGGAGCATCTTCTCGGGCAGCCACAGCGAGCTGATCCTGCGCTGGGGGATGGAGCCACTAGTGCCACCGGTGTCCACGGGCACGGGGACGCTGCTGGAATCGTCCCGGCTGATCCCCCCCTTGCCCCCAGGGAGCAATCCAAGTGCCTCATAGCCTCTTCCAGCAGCACCACCTCAGGCAGCACAACGTCACCGGCTGGAATCACCCCGGGGTCCCTGATGGCTTGGACGTGGAGGGCAGCAGAGTGGCTGGGGGAGATGTTACCACCCAGGGGGGTGCCCTCATCCATGGGGACATCACTCGCCAGGGAGATGTCACATCCTGGGAGGATGTCCTCATCCATGGGGACATCACTCGCCAGGGAGATGTCACATCCTGGGAGGATGTCCTCATCCATGGGGACATCACTCGCCCAGGGAGATGTCAACACCTGGGAGGATGTCCTCATCCATGGGGACATCACTCGCCAGGGAGATGTCAACACCTGGGAGGATGTCCTCATCCATGGGGACATCACTCGCCAGGGAGATGTCAACACCTGGGAGGATGTCCTTAACCATGGGGATATTGTTGCCTGGGTGGCTGCCACTGCCTGGGGGTGCCGCCAGCGGTTGGCTCTGCTGGACAGGCCATGGTGCGTGTACTGTCCCTCGACGTGGTGGTGGCTGCGGAGGGACGGTGGCAGCACTGGACGGGCTGAGGCCGCTGCTCTGCCCTGACAGTTGTGGGGCAGGACAGCTCAGCTTGGCTCTGGGGGGCCCATTGCTCTGCCAGGCCGGGGGGAGCCGCAGCCCGGGGTCCCCACAGGGCAGCGCCTGGCCGGGAAGCAACGCTGTGGCCGGTGACAAAGGTGGCAGCTGGAGGCAGGTTGGTGCTCGTCCACTCCGAGTGGGAGACATGGGGGTTGAAGCAGCTGCTGCTTGGAGCCATCTGCAGACCTGCAGAGGTGAGAGGGAGATGTGCAGGGGTGAGGACCTGGAGGAATCTCCTGGGGCACCCCCTGAGCCAGCCCTGAGCACAGACATCCCCCTGCTCTGTGCCGGGTGAGTGGGGAGCTTGTGGCAGGGACGATTGTCCATGTGGTGGTGAAATGGGAGAGATGGCTCCAAGAGATTGGGGAATTATCTATAAATTATATTTACTGGGCAGGTTGATCCTGACAGAGAGACATGAGCACTCACTGGTGATCACATCCCAAGCCGGGACAGGAGGGCGCATGAGGGGACTGAGAAGGAGAAGGGAGAGGCGCAACGGAGAAAGGGCTCTGAATTTCCCCAGAGCGAGTCCCGGGGCTGTCGGGGTCAGGGTTAGTCCTCACCTCTGGTGTAGAAGGTTTTGGGGAAGAGGAATGGCTGCAGTAGCTGGGCCATCGGAGGAGCCCCAGGGCCGCACAGTGTGTGCTGCAGAGCTGGCAGTGCCATGGTCACTTCTGTCCTGTGGATTCTGTTTGAGTGTTGCCTGGCAAGGAATGTTGGGGCTCCCCGTGTTCTGTCCCGCCCCCAGTAGCTTTGACTGCTCTTCATGCAGAGGGAAAGGGTTAACAAAAGAGTTGAGTTAAGAGTTATGGTCAATGGCTCAATGTCCAGGGGGAAACCAGTAAGGAGTGGTGTCCCTAAAGGGTTTGTACTGGGACCAGTACTATTTCATGTCTTCACCAATGACATAGACAGTGGGATTGAGTGCACCCTCATCAAATTAGTGAATGACACCAAACTGAGTGGTGCAGTTGCCTCACCTGAGGGAAGGCATGCCTTCCAGAGGGACCTGGACAAGCTTAAGAAGTGGGCCCATGTGAACCTCTTGGAGATCAACAAGGCCAAATGCAAGGTCCTGCACATGGGTCAGGGCAATCCCCAGTAACAATACAGGCTGGGGGATGAGTGGATTGAGAGCAGCCCCACAGAGAAGGACTTGGGAGTACTGGTGGATGAAAAGCTGGACATGACCCGGCAATGTCTGCTCGCAGCCCAGAAAGCCACCCGTGTTCTGGGCTGCAGCCAGAGCAGGGGGGGCAGCAGGGCCAGGGAGGGGATTCTCCCCCTCTGCTGCGCTCTGGGGAGACCCCCCTGCAGTGCTGGGGCCAGCCTGGGGCCCCTGACATCAGAAGGACACTGACCTGCTTGAGCAGGGCCAGAGGAGGCCACAGAAATAATCAGAGGGATTAAACACCTTTCCCATGATGAAAGGTTTGGGGTGGTTCAGCCTGGAGAAGGGAAAGCTCTTGGGGAGACCTTATTGCCGCCTTTCAGTACTTAAAGGGGGCTTATAAGAAAGATGCAGAGAGACATTTTAATAGGGTCTGTTGCAAGAGGACAAGGAGCAACAGTTTTAAACTGAAAGGGGGTAGATTTCGATTAGATGTAAGGAAGAAATTCTTTACTGTGAGGGCAGTGAGGCGCTGGCACAAGTTGCCCAGAGCAGCTGTGGCTGCCCCCTCCCTGGAAGGGTTCAAGGCCAGGTTGGACGGGGCTGGGAGCCCCCTGGGCTGGGGGAAGGGGGCCCTGCCCGGGGCAGGGGGGTTGGGACTGGGTGATCTCTGAGGTCCCTTCCAACCCAAACCACTCTATGATTGAATGACATTTTTGTTCTGGAGCAACTTTCTGCAGACGTAATTTTTTGATCCCGCATGTGATGAATATTAGGAGCAACAGTGTGGCTGTGAAGCTGACTGTGGAAGAGCCTCTTAAGAGACATCTCCTCAAGGCAAGCGGGAGGCCGTATGCTGTACAATGCAGCTCTGGGCAAGAGGATGTCTCTGCAAAGAGATGGGCCTTTGAGCTGAGGGGTGTTGGAAGAGGTGGCTTGGTATTTCTGGCAGCTACACACTGCTCCTTGCTTCTCTGGTTGCGATGGCCTTGTGCTGTGCAACAAGCTCTCCTTCATGCTCTTCACTCGTAATAACGTGGTTCTTTGCCTTTCTGAAAACTCAGAAAACTTACCGGCACAAACCCGATGCTCCTTCCCATCCCAGTTATTCGCAATCGGGAGAGGTATTCCCAAATTTTAAGAGAAAATATTTTTGTGTTTTCTTAGTTTTGCAGGCATCCATGAGTGAAGGACCAGAGTACCTCAATCTGTCCCTTCAACAATCCTTCCCCGCTCCATGTTTTCAATTGGAAACCGCACCAGTGAGCTCCTAAATCCAGGTATCATGTACACCAGTGAAGTGGAGGTCTGGAAGCAGAGACAGAAGCAAGGTCTAAGTATCAGAGCTGGGCTTCATTTTCCCAGTAAGCAGACCCAGACCTCAGCTTGAGTTCCCTCTTTATAACACATTGAGATATGGATAGGTACCTTAGGGAACATCTAATGTCAATGCTCACCCATACAGAAATACCACGGGGACTTTTGATTTAGGAGCCAAACTGGTTGTTTGTTCAATGGGCACGTTTCCAGCAGAGGCCCATGACCAGCTTTTAGCAGTACACTCCCAACACTTGACATTTATTAAAGCCACAGCTCAGTGAGTGAGGTAATTACCTGGGCATTTCCATTTTCATTTCTAGTAAGTCCAAATTAAAGTCCAAATAAAGTACATTTTTAGCCCTTCGGCAAAGATTACTCCTTTTTTTTTTTTTTGAACACTTTCCTTCAGGTAGTTAACCATTCATAATACCCATCAATAACCGCTTAGCTGAAGGTATTAGGGTTTAGGGTTACGTAGACAGTAGTAGTCAAAATGCTGTTTCATTCTTTTTGTCACATAATCTTTACTGTATGATAAGCACTACGTAGTAGGCACAAAGCAAAAAGGAGGCCCCCGGTATTTACTTCTCTCTGATAACCCGTGCTAATGAGTTTGCTGCCATTTTAGCTGAAATATGGATAAAAGAAATCCCATCTCGTGTCCTAACGAGCGCAAGCCCTGAGCGTAGACAAACCCTGGGAAGGGCCACATAAGGGTTGTGGCAAGATCAGTGGAAATCCTCTGCCCAAATTCAGGGTGCCAGGACCACATCTGTGTCTCCATGCTTGGCTGCAGCATTTTAGGAGCCATGGGAGAGTTGCCAGCACCCCTTTGCTCTCCCACTTTCACCCCAAAGGAGCTGGTCCAGGGGAATGGGTGCCACCAGGCAATGGGTGCTCATGCTGCGAGGGCGGGTAGAAGTCCTTGCTTGTCCCCAGCTCTTTCCTTAAAAGCAGCAGGGGAAAATCAATAAATAAGGAAGGACAGGAAAGGGGACCATTACAATTAGACCTGATTTTATTTTGCTCCGTAGCCACCGGGCGTCACTCTTGCCTATAGAGTCAGAAAGGAATTTTTGGTCGTCGCTGATAAAATCCCATTTCATCCATAAATTCTACAGCTCCCGGCACTGACAGCAGCATCCCCATTTATCAAAATTTCCCAAGTTTCAACATCAAATTACCAACTCGTTAAATCTGGGGGTATCTGGAGCTGGCAATTTAGCCTGCGGTGTTATTTGCTAAACATAGGCAAAACACATTAGGGTTTTTTTATTATTATTATTATTATTATTATTAGTGTAAATGCAGCTGGATAATTTAGATCTGGGTTTGGATTAGGATCTTGGCCAGTGTCTGTCGGTGTCTGGATTACCAGGACATGCTCTGAAGCTGTACAGCTTCTGGGGAAGAGGGAAGGTGAAGAAGAGACAAGGTGTGGATGGGCAGAAAAGCAAAAAAATGTGGCTTTTGCAGGCGGCGCCTCTGCAGAAGTGGAGCAAAACCAACATGATTCAGCAGATGAAGCTGTAAAATATTCCAACCTTTGAAGTCAAGGCAGTTCAGCCCTGACCATTCATGTATCTCAGAAGTACTAGGAGATAAACGCGGGAAACATTACACAGCTCGGTAAATATGCGTTCATCAGAGTACCCGTAATTGCCATTGTGTTGGGATTTTTGCTTTTATAGAACTACAAACTTGTCTTACAACTGCTAGAAACGCTCTCCCGCTAATTTTGTATTTTTCAAGTTCTTCAGAGATTCTCCATTTTCTCCAAAGACAGAAAATCTATTTTCCTTTCAAACAAAGGAAATCCAGTGTGGAGTCTTTACCTGAGGAAAGAACCTCTCAAAGAAAATGTAACACGGCTGGTAAAACCAGTTGCTCTGAAACACTCTGTATCAGCAAACTGAACAGCTGATAAGAATAATAGAAATTTTTAGTCAATGAGAAAATACTCATCAGGAACCTCATCCTACCAGCACAAAATTTGCTAATATTGCCTGGCCTTGCGTTGCTGCCAGAAGTATGAATTTGTACTGAAATCCCACTGTATGGGAGAAGCACCCCAGCCAAAGTGTAAGAAATTTCACTGCTATAAACAGGGCACATATGGGGTTTATGGAGACATCGGGGTCTGGCTATTGATTTGTGCTTTCCTCTGGGTAATACATGTCCTATAATGCCATGAGATTTATGACCAGGACTTTGAACTCTGGAATAACTTTTAAAAAGAGGGGGCTGTCTATAAAAAGTGTGGTTCGGGTTTTAATCTGTTATAATCTAGTGCCGCAAGAAGACTTCGAGAGTTCATTTATTTGGCCGTGAATACTTTTCACACTGAGACTAGGAGGCCACACTCAAATACCTTCAAAAGTTCATGCCAGGATCAGTGAAATTCAGAGTCACGAATGACCCAGGGAACAATCAATCCTTTGATTATAGGAAGTTCCTATTAAAATAATGGAGCACAGAAAGTGCCTTGCTAAAATGAATGTGAGTCTCCCAAACCTGTACATTTGCGCAAAGTGTTGGCTGAGAAATTTCAGCAATTCCTTTTAAAAAAAAAAAAAAACAAAAAAAAAAAACAAAAAACAAAAAACAAAAAGCAGACAACATTTTGATATCAAGCAGAGTTTTGACAACTGATTTGGATAAATTGAATTTCTCTTTTATCCAGATTTCTTGACCTGTTCTTAATACCAATTTCCCTTGGTGCTTGCTTTCTTGATTATAGTTGAAAGAAATTTATAACAAATCTATCTTCTGTTTTCGCTCTACCTATAAATTTCTACTACATTTATATATTTGTATCTCCAGACTGAAAAGCAAGATAAACCTGAAGGCAAACTTATCGTACCAGAATAAAACTCTTTACTCCTGGGACTGGCCAAAACAACAATCTATGAAAAATGCAAAACAGCAACAGGTCTTGTTTTTAAACTGTTTCGCAAATATTTTTGTGCTGAGAACCTGATCACTGAAGATGCTAAAGTGCTGCTGGCTGCCCTGAATGCCTCCCAGTCTCTGACTGGGACTGTCCCAGTTGGTGCTCAGCTTCTTGCAGAAGTGGACCCCTTAAGAGTTTGCATACAACTAACTAAACACTAGTAAGATCCTCTGTTTTAGTTTTCCAACACCTGAATGATTTATGGGCAGAAAGTAGGTCTACTGCAAATTCATAATTGATGCGTCTCTTTTGATACGCAGTCTAACAAATGAAAAAAAATATTTAAAATACAATTGATTTGTTACTTGTTATGGACTGGAAGAAGACTTCCAAAAGACTGTCATGTTTTCTGGCTTGCCCTGAGATACAGTTCTATCTAGAAGATCCGAGATCCAAACCATTCATACCTTCACCTAAACAAAAACAAAAGCCATCTTCTTCCCTTGGGTCCTGGTGATACACACACCCCAGCCATCCCAGTTATGTGGGACACATTAAACTGTTTTGACTTGGTTACTTCTAAACAAAACCAATGAAATTCAGTTGCTTATAAAAAAATGAGACGGAGGCCCTCTTTTTCTCTCCTCCACATCACTGCTTTAATCCCTGCTATGACCAGGTGGGTGTAGCAATAACTGTAGCTCCTCAACCTGATGAAAATAGTGTTGCATTCAGAAATTCGATAAATGAATGGGAGGGACAAGTAATGCTTCCCCCCCCCCCCCCCCCCCCGGATGTTTTGTTAATTAAATTAGCATTTAAATAGCCAGAGCTAATCTGGGAAGTCAGGCCCTCATTACAGTAACTAGGAAGGGGGAAAAGAGCTGCAGACAATGCCCTACAAGATGGGGTTAAGTTGGCGTTTCACAAACTATTTGCCCAGCCTGTCCCTCCCAAGTGAAAGCTGCCACCCACCCCACCCCCCCTTTCCTCCCAGAATAATTAGCATGTTCCAGTGCTGTGAATGGAAACAATATCCTCCCTCCAAGCTGTGCCCCTCCAGGGAGATGCTTCCCACAGATTGTGAAACTCTGAGCCAGGGAAAGGGCTTGCCGAGGAATTCACAGTGGGGTAATTACACTGAGGTAGCTTGTGCCCGGTGCAAGATAAGTTGCATTACTGTAATTCATTGCAGGAGGCAGGGGCTCGCATAAAGGAAATGTCCAGAGGCAAGACTGCAGAGCCATGAGAAGTCATCGCCTTCCCAGAGCCCCGATAAAACCCGACGTTGAAGCTGAGGATGGTTCTTTGGCCTCCGAGGATGTCTCCGTCTTCAGAGAAGTTTGCAGAACGTAGCAACGATCACGTGCGAATCTGGTTTCTCTTTGGCAATTAGAATGGAAGAAAGGTTGAAAGGGTGAGTTTTCAGATTTTAAAATAAATTCTTCATCCCAAGTAGAAAACTGAAGCAAAGCTTGCAAGAATTGGATGCTTTCACTTGTTATTGTCCATGTATATGGCACTTAAAACATGCTGGCCCCTCTTTCTATCAAATGAAAAGCTGGTCTGCAATCCTTTCCCCACAAGATTTACTATTTAATTTTACATATAACAGAGAGACCAATGATAACTAATATCAGAGGAGAAGATGCAGGAGGAAGGGCTGGATTTGGGTGACACCTGCTATCCCCAGCAGTATGCACATCTGGCAGGTTTCATCCCACTTATTTAAATCGTATTCCAGGTGACTCAACAGAAAAAACATCACCCTCCACTTGCGGCTCATCATGCCCAGCTGTAAAGCGGGGATTATATTTACCTCCATTGCAAAGTACTCGGTTTCAGAAGACGTTGGTGCGGTTTGCTGAGGCCCCGGCTGGAAAATACCACAAGAAGTTCAAAGCCCGGTTTCATCCTGTAATTGGATCCTCAAGTCCACAAGTGCAAGAACCAACTGTGCGGGCTGACAGCAGGTCCTCCCCTCTTCCAACAAGAACCCCACCACAACACGGGGCTGTGGGGCTGAGCTGCAAGCGTGGCATACCCAGGAGCTGCTACTTTCTGCTGCTATGCACAAAAAAATGTTGTTTAAAGCTTTTGCCACCCTGTTTGATCTGACCTGCTGTTATTTTTTCTTTCTTTTTTTTTTTTTTAACTCTAAGACATCTTCTTAACTCTCATGCTCACTTGGGATGCTCTTAAGAACATGGACTTTAATCCCAGTGTTACTTAAATACCAATTTAATATTTGTTTTCTCTCTGCCTTGACAAGATATTCCTCAGGTCAAGCAGGCATGAAATGATAGATATTGAGTGCAATTCTTCTGGGCAAGAAGAGCTACCTTCTAAATCTTATCTCAAAACCACTTGGAAATGTGTTTATTTATTTATGCCATAAAATCTCATTCGATGTTGAAGGCCCAAAGGATTACAATTCTGAATTGGTTGGTTTGCTGTTTTGTTTTCTTTTTTTTTTCCCCCCGTCCTTGCTGAAATCTGGCCTTTCAAAATAACACAGAGAGAATCTTTGTTTTGATCTAAAATAGCAGCTGCAAGGGCTTTTAAATGACCATTTAAATGAGATTTCTTTTTTTGCATCTTCGCATTATAGTTTCATTCTCGGTCTCTGAGATCAGTAGCTGCGGTTGAGCAGCCGAGCCGTCTAATGGGAATAAATTGTAATATTGTTCCAACTGTCTCCGATTATTACTGTTGAGCTCTATTAATGAACCGCCTTCATTAAGCAAACTGCAAAGTGTGTTGACGGCGGCGTATCAGAGGTTGCTCTGCGAAGCCAGACCCAGCCATCATCTAACCCCACGGTCTTTACGTTGGGTTACGGTTCGTGATCCTCGGCGTGACGTGATTTCTAACGGACAGAAACCCCACGGACCAGCAGAGCAATGCCGCCTTGCTTTGTGACTCCCAGAGAACATCTTGCGGCGAGGTGAGGTTTTGGGTCGCAGCGGCGATGCTGCGAAGTATGGCAGTATTCCCTCAAAAAGGGCCCGAGGCACAGGCAGCACAGACTGAGGTGGGACAGGGCTGGCCCACAGCCACTCTGGTGATGTGTGGCAGGACCTGGGGTGAGCCTGAGACCCCCCTTCTCTGTCAGCGCGACACAACCCACAAACGCCATTTGGGGCTCGCCCCCTCACGAAACTCGTCTATGCTAGCGGACCACATATCCCAGCATGCAATGCTGTCCCGCCAGGAGACGGGCGCGGAAAGGACTACAACTCCCAGCGGGCATCGCGCCTCGCTGCCCGCCTCCCCGGAGCGGCGGGGTGGGCGGCGCTGCACGCTGGGATCTGTAGTCCAGCCGGACGTCGGTCACACACGGTGCCTCCCTTCCTCCGCCCCCCCCTCCCCCCGGTTTGACACCCCCTCCCGCCCCGCTCCGCCCTCCTCCCCGCCCCGCCGGTTGTCCCTCCGTAAACGGAAGCCGAGGAGGGACGAAGGAGCCGGGGAGGAGGTTGGAGCAGCGCGATGGGGGACTCCAAAGTGAAGGTGGCGGTGCGCGTCCGCCCCACGAACCGGCGAGGTGAGACTTTCCTCCCTCAGTGACACTCCCCCGCTCCCCGGCGCTGGTGTGAGGGGAGCGGGCCCGAGGGGCAGAGCGGGGCGGGAGGCCGGGGGGTGCCGGTCCTCATGGGTGTCTGTAGGGGCAGGTGTGGGTGTCGAGGTGCGCGTGACCCGTCGCGGGGGCGTGTTTATAGGTGTATGTGTCGGGGGGGGGTGGGGGGGAAGTGTGTATAGGTATATTTATTTATTAATTAATCTTTATGAAGATCTTAGTTTTGTCATTTAGACGTAAGGTATTTTCACACTCTCTTGTATAGTCAGTTTTTCCCTTATTTGTGCTGGCTTCTATGTAGCAAAGGGCAAAGACAAAAATCACTGTAAGGCAACAAACTTTGGCAGAGGGCTATTCTGCAGAAAATCTGGTGACGAAAAGAAATAGTGAAAGAAGTATACTGAAAATCTGTGAAACTAATGCAGAAAGTGAGGATAGGCAGCAATATATTAAAAATAGTATTTCACATTCCCTGGTACTATGAGAAATGCAAAATGAAACAGTAGCTATTAGCTTGGCATGTCAAAAAAGGCCAGTTGTAAGGTGCTTACTTAAGAAATGTTGTAGGAGATAGAGTGTGCGGCAAATCGGTTTGCGATGTTACAGCAGGGAGTGAATTCAAAAGCGATTTCAGGCAAGAGGGAGCTGGAACATTTCTGGGGACCAGTAGCACTAACAGTGGCAGAAGCAATGGTGAAGAATTTACAGGATTTCAGCACAGAGCAGGAAAACTAAAACAGATTCCGATAAAATGCCAGGGCAGTTTACTGGGAAGGATGTTTCTACTTTAGAGAGCTCATTTTTGCCAGTTTGTAAATTCATAGCGGCCGAGAGTCATGAATGCCTCACAACTGGTGACTGCAGAGCTAGAAAATGGAATGACAACAGCTCAGCAGCCGCTTTAGAGACAGCCAGCGTGGCTTCGCCGAGGGCAAATCGTGCCCGACTAATCCAGCGGCCTTCCATGATGGAGTGACGGCATTAGAGGACGAGGGAAGAGCTACGGATGTCACCTGCCTGGAGGACGTCAGTGAGGCACGGACAGGTTCTGGATAAATGGCTTTTAATGGAAAAACTGAGAACAAAACACGCACTACCAAAGCTACTACATCGTCAACACACCCTCCCCCTCCCCAAACCCACCCGTTCCCGCAACAGGCCCAGTCCCACCCCCCGCCCCAGCACTGGCTGCAGGGGCCTTGCGCTTGCCGCCATTTTCTGGCCGGGAGCCATTTTGCCGCTTCTCCGCTCGCTTCTCCGCTCGCTTCTCGCTCGCTTCTCCCTCGTTCTCCGCTCGCTTCTCCCTCGCTTTCCGCTCTTCTCCGCTCGCTTCCCGCTTTCTCTCGCTTCTCCGCTCGCTTCTCCCGGCTGGTGTCGTGCCGGGACACACTGCCCTGAGGGGGTGGCAGGTCTGTCCCCACGTCCTGCCGTGGATCCTCAGCCCTCATCCTGATGGGAGTTAAGTGCTCCCTGCTCAGGGTGGCTTTGGAGGCCTTGGGGACACGAGTCATTGGGGAGCATCTTCTCGGGCAGCCACAGCGAGCTGATCCTGCGCTGGGGGATGGAGCCACTAGTGCCACCGGTGTCCACGGGCACGGGGACGCTGCTGGAATCGTCCCGGCTGATCCCCCCCTTGCCCCCAGGGAGCAATCCAAGTGCCTCATAGCCTCTTCCAGCAGCACCACCTCAGGCAGCACAACGTCACCGGCTGGAATCACCCCGGGGTCCCTGATGGCTTGGACGTGGAGGGCAGCAGAGTGGCTGGGGGAGATGTTACCACCCAGGGGGGTGCCCTCATCCATGGGGACATCACTGCCAGGGAGATGTCACATCCTGGAGGATGTCCTCATCCATGGGGACATCACTCGCCAGGGAGATGTCACATCCTGGGAGGATGTCCTCATCCATGGGGACATCACTCGCCAGGGAGATGTCAACACCTGGGAGGATGTCCTCATCCATGGGGACATCACTCGCCAGGGAGATGTCACATCCTGGGAGGATGTCCTCATCCATGGGGACATCACTCGCCAGGGAGATGTCAACACTGGGAGGATGTCCT